AGGAAATCACAAGTATAACTCAAAAGCTTTAAACGATCACAACATTATCAATATAAAAGAATCATACAATTTTCACATCATGTTTCCATAGCCTTTAGTTTGGGGCATTTCATACTGTTCAACATTGTTCACATTACCACGGCTATCTTGAGCGGAGTCCGATCTCGACCCGATCGGCTAGGTTGCCTCATTTGAGACATTCACTTCAATCACAAACACATTACCACCATGAGCGTAGCATGTCGTCCGATCTCGGCCCGATCGGCTAGGCCGCCTTACCAAGGCGTTTCCCTTTTCCATCAATCATCTCATTTCAATCTTTGTTTCCCATAAATAATTTCATAGGAACTTGGGGCCACAACTGTCACATCATATATTTTGCACTAGGCTGCATCTCACATCATTCCCATTTTCAATGTTAGATTTGTAATTTAAGAAAATATGGGCACACAAGAGCAAATAAGATTGTAGGCGTAGATGAGACTTCACATAGATGGCACAACAACGCAACTTCAATCTCAATCTAAGGTCTAAGCATTTCAATACATGATTCATAGTTCTTGCACATTTTCAAGTTATCAAGAATAACACATTGATCATATTGAGACACACCTTCCACGCATATAAGGTTGCAATACCAATTCAAGTGAAATAACAATCAATACAACAATTCAACTTTAATCTTACCGTATTCACACAAAGCCATACATACATTGTTTAAACTTTCCTTAAGTTACTACGACGTTCCAGAAATTCTAGCAATCCCAATCTACTTTGAGACATAACAAAATTGAGCACAAATTAGGAAGGTATTCATGGTTTCAGCTCATTTGAGCATTCTATCAAATACTAGTTAAGCATCTTAGTTTCAAATCTCTTTTACAAGGTTTCCTTCATTCCCCGACCCAATCCTTACTTATTTATGTTCAACAATCTTCCAAAAAACCTAATTTGTAAATGCATGTATATATAATACTTTTACGCCCAAGAATCATACCTCAATAATCCCATATTATACCCAAAACTCGAAATTAAAGTCTAGTGTATAGAACCTTACCTCTTAGATGAAGATCTTGTGATTGGTTTCCTTGATTCTTGAAGATTGATAGAAGATTGAATGATTAGAATGTTAGGCTCCCTCCTTCTCTCTCTAAAAAACTCTTAACTATCTCTAAAATCATCAAAATATTGCTTCAAATGAAACCCCAAAGCCTATTTATTAAAATGGGGTCGGGTCATGAAAATAGGAAGATTAACCCTCCGAATTCGGGTCTGCGGTCGCATAATGGACCGCAAAATGGGTATGCTGGCCGCAGACGTATCGCAAAACCCGGTGCCCAAAACTGGGCTACACTGGTCCAATCTGCGACCAAATTTTCGACCGCACATCAACTATGCGGACCGCATAATGGTTTTGCGATCGCAGAACTGACACAAGATCGCATTTTTCTAGCCTTTGGTAATTTGATCATAAATTTGTGTAGGAATGTCCAAATGACAAACTGTTTGAAGCGTTGGAAACTAGACTCGAAGACCGTTCATATGATAGGTTGCTCATTACATAAAACCTTATACATATTTAGATATGCTCGTTCAAAGTGTGAACTTGTGCAAACTCATTTGGAATCTTAGCCTATTATGAAATTTTCCAATTTGACTTAGGCGTAGGCCTTTCCTTGGGCCCCAAATTACTTATCATAAGACTTGTACACTTATTTACCAAATCCAATTGATGCCCACCATGTTAATAGCACATAAAATATTATAATTAGCCTACGTGGCACCACAAAATCCTAGATTACTTAGCGAAATTTTCTGGGGCCTTACAGGTTTGGAGTTTATATCTCAATTTTGAGGGGTTGTGGTGAAGATTAGACTTGGTTTTGGCTGAATTTCCGATTGAAACTCAAAGAGAAGAAGAAGACATGACATACATTATATTGCAGAAATTGTAGAAAAATTGTAGACTGTTGTTTATTTATTTTTCTTTTATTCATTTACCTATTGTATAAAACTTGAACAACATTTTATAAAAATTATATTTAAGTGTTATTATATTGTAGTTGTATATAACTTAGTAGAAATAATGTACGAAAATTGTAGATAATTTGTAGATAAGTTGTATAATATATAATTAGTTGTATGAAAATTATTTTTACTATGTATAAAATACAAAATATACAAAAGACATATTGTATAAATTTTGTATAAAATTTGTATGTAAGTTTTATGTTATTGTAGTTGTATTTAACCGGGTGAAAATAATATGTGAAAGTTGTAGATAAGTTGTATTCCTCTATAACGGGAGATGTTGGCATATCAAGTAACTTTAGTGTTCCAGACGAATATGTATGAAAATAAAGATAAATTTTGTTATGAACAGTTTGTAGAAATTTTGTAGATAATTTGTAGAAACATTGTTTTTCATATTAATTTTTCAAATGATATGTAGTTTTATTGTAGAATAAATGTAGAAAACAAGCCATTGTGAGTCTTATTTGACTCATTCCTCACATTCAACCTATTCTACAAATTCACGCCCCTTTAAATACAATACAACCATACTTTCTTGAATTTAAAGGTATAGCAATACATATAACTTAAAAAACATCTTCTCCTCTGCACAAGTTAGCTTCAAAACAGACTAAGTGGAATAACAAGCTCCCATCAAAACTTTTAACACAAAAGCACAAAGCTCAAAAATAAATAAATAACAGTCTATAATTTTTCTACAATTTCTGCAATATATTGTATGTCATGTCTTCTTCTTCTTCTTCTTCTTCTTCTTCTTCTTCTTCTTCTTCTTCTTCTTCTTCTTCTTCTTCTTCTTCTTCGAGTTTCAATCTGAAATTCAGCCAAAACCAAGTCTAATCTTCACCAAAACCCCTCAAAATTGAGATATAAACTCCAAACCATATTCCCAATTATTTACAACAACACCCAATCCAAACAAATAATGATTTTTGAAAACCCAAATTTGAATTCAAAGCTTCAAAGCTTTTTAATGGTTGTCAATGGTGGAATTGCTGTTCTCTTTTCCTTTCCTCTTATATTACTGAAATTTGGGATTGAGAGATAGAGAGAGACGTAGAGAGAATTCTCAATTCTTTGCAACAACATCCAATCCAAACAAANTGCAACAACATCAAATCCAAACAAACAATGTCTTTTGAAAACCCAAATTCGAATTCAAAGCTTCAAAGTTTTTTAATGGTTGTCAATGGTGGAGGGGTTACAAATTTTCGCTGGTTTTAGAAGAGGAAATCGTGGGTGATTGGAGAGGAAATTGTGGGGATTTGGAGAGAGAAACTTGGGGGAGTGGGAATATACGGTTGAGTAAAATTAGGAGAATAATTAATACCATTAAAATCCTAAATGGTACATAAATGGTAATTAAGTATATAGAAGGTAATTATATTAAAAGTTAAATATGAAGGGTAATATAGTTTACTATATGGCATAAGAATGTAAAAATTCCTAACAATAAACTATAGAGGTAGATATAGTATTTTAGTTACATATTCATCCGAATCCACCAGCTTTGTAGAGTTTGTTTAAAAACGCATAAAGAATGAATCTTTCTCGCTAAATGACCATTTCTTTTATTTGATAAGGCTTTATAGAGTCTAGTAAGTAGTAATTACACAGTAGGCTATTACGAGTACTAGATATACTAATGAATGACTTCCTTTTCCTTTCCCTTTTCCTGTGTGTTTAATTTGTTGTTTATTTTCTGGGAAAGACACAAGTTTGCATGGATCCACCGGATAGAAAGTCAAAATGAAAAGAATAGAAATTTAAAAGACCAAGAAAATAAAATTATCTTTTAATCATTTCTTTTACCCAAATCATGACGCGTGACAAAGTTTGACCCCCGAAAAAGAAAAAAAGCAAGAGGGGCGAAAAGTGAAAACTAAAAGAATACAAAAAGATTCTCAATGAAGAGGCAATTGCACGTAGGCCATAGGATACCTTAATTCCTCCGATCTTTACTGATTTAAAGAGGCTGCTTTTCGTTCTTTTCATAGCTAGATCATTTTAAAAACTAATTACGGACAACTCTATTTAATTAGTATTCAATAATAGCCTATAATGTATTATAAATTTATTTGTGTTCTCTCTACACAAAACTTAAATCCCTACTACAATATTGCTCCAACAATATCAATGAGACCGTGACTAGTCTTCCATTGTTTCATTTCCATTTATTGCGTAACTGTTTTGTATTTCCCACTTCATTTACTAGTCCTCCCCCACCTGCCAGATACTCGGGATAAGACGGATGAGAAGTATTACTCCTTCAAAATTTGATACAATTGTCAAATGGCCCATCAGAAATATGATTGATCATTTTATGATTTTCCATCAAGTATTCGGTATTCGCATTAAAGCCCCCGATTAATATGGATTTGCGTCACGTAAAAATCAATTAAAAGGGTGGAAGCACTCCTTATCAATTTTTTTCTTTTTTTAGAGCTTGAATCTAAAACCTATGATTAAAACTAAATGGATTTTATCCATCTCATCACAATCTTTTTGACAAAATGCTGAAGATCAACAATGATGCTAAGCTTAGATCGAGCTCTAATGGATAAAGAAGAAAGACATTCTCACTGAGAAGCTTCGAGAAACAGATGAAGAGGAGAAAATGAATTCTTCTTACATCAAAATATCTGTACAATGTCTTATATATGTGTACAACTAATTCTACTAACCAATAGCCTAACTAACTAATTACAAAATTGACCTATACAAATAATAGCCTATGTAAATGTAAAGTAATTACAATGTGGCTAACTATTAAATAATCTCAACACCTCCCCCCCTTCCCCCTCAAGTTGGAGGTGGGGAACCCACAACCAACTTGCCAAGTAGAAGAGTATGTTTGTTGCTTGGCAAAGATTTAGTAAAGATGTCTACAAGTTGTTCATGAGTAGGGATGTAATGTAGTGAGATCAGTCCATCTTGAAGCTTGTCTCGTACAAAATGGCGATCCACTTTTATGTGTTTAGTCCGCTGAAGACATGATTCTTTGCAATGTGAAGTGCACCTTGGCTATCACAGAAAACAAGTATAGGTAGAGATAGATATACTGTGAGTTCCTCAAGCAGTCTTGCAAGCCAGACTAATACCCCAACCACTTTTCTTACTGCTCTATACTCAACTTCTGCTGAGGACAATGAAATAGTAGATTGCTTCTTGGATTTCCAACTAATGGGATTGTCACCAAGCAATACTATATAACCACTGACTGACTTCCAGGTTTCAGGATAAGCTGCCCAATCATAGTCACAAAAAGCCCTTACCCTGTAGTCTCTACTGTTAGACAAGAAAATCCCCAGAGATAAGCTCCCTTTCAAATATCTCAATACATGTATTGCTGCTCTTACGTGAGTGTCTCTAGGATTCTGCATATATTGGCTTAAGTGTTGAATACTATAGCCTATATCAGGCCTAGTTCCTATAAGAAAATTCAATTTCCCAACTAGTTTCCTATAATGGCCAGGGTCTGAAAGGGATATTCCTTCATCTGCTTTCAACTTTACTGTTGGATCAAGAGGTGAAGTCACAATTGTATATCCTATACAATCAAATTTCTTAAGAATGTCTTGAGTGAACTTTCTCAGTGTAATCATAACTCCATCACTCTTATAAAGTATCTCCAATCCTAGAAAGTAATGCAGTCTCCCTAGATACTTTATTCTGAATGTTTCATGGAGGAACTTCTTTAAGCTGGTAATTTCTTCCAAGTGAGCTCCTGTGATAATAACATCATCCACATAAACAGCTACAAAGGTTACTGAATTCCCTTTACCTTTATAAAACAAGGAGTAATCAAACATAGAATGTGTATACCCTCTAGAACAAAGAGCTTCTGTCAACTTGGCATACCATTACCTACTAGCTTGTTTCAATCCATACAAGGATTTATTCAACTTGTATACCATTCCAGACTGTTCTACAAATAGACCTGGTGGTGTCTCCATGTATACTTCTTCATGTAAATCACTATGAAGAAAGGCAATGTTCACATCTAATTGAAACATTTTCCATCCCTTCTTAACTGCTAGCCCAATCAGAGTCCCTATTGTTGTCATTTTTACAACAGGTGAGAAGGTTTCAGTATAATCCACTCCAGCCTATTGAGTATAACCCTTCACTACTAGTCTAGCTTTGAACCTCTCTACACTTCCATCTGCCTTGTGCTTTATCTTATACACCCATTTACATCATATGACCCTCTTTCCAATTGGAAGTGGCACTAAATCTCAGGTGTTATTGGTGTACGATGCCTCAAATTCTTGAGTCATTGTTTCTTTCCATACAGGTGCAGCAGTTGCTTCCTCATATGAGGGAGGTTCACAATCTTGTGAAACATTCTTTATCAAATGCTGACTATCAGTGGCTAGAGCACTAATGTCAATAGGTTGCACTTCAGGAATAAAGGTATTAAAGGACAGATAAGACGTGCTTTGTTCATCTTGAGGTGAGGTATTCATAGGGTGGTCACTCACAGGTTGTTTGGGTAGTGTACGCACATAATCTTTCAAGTTTGTAAGTGGTTTGAGTTCTGGATGGTCTAGTATTTTCTAGAGGTAAGGTTGGAGTATGTTGGCTATAGTCAGATGAACTAACAGTACTAAATGGGCTATTTTGGTCTTGAAACTGTGGAGATGGGATATTATATTCATTTGTATCTTGGGCATCTTCAGAGTCTTGGTTCCCTGATACAAGTTGGTGCATGATTTTCTACATTCAAGTGCATTTGGGGTAATGAGAAAGAAGAACTATCAAGATTAGGAAACAGATCATTAGAACATGATTTTAAACTAAATGGAAAGATATTTTCATGAATTAATACATCTCTTGAGATGTGTATCCTTTTTGTGATAAGATTTAACACCTTGTAGCCTTTTGTTCCAAAAGGGTATCCGGAGAAGACATGTGAAGTTGATCTAGGTTCAAACTTGTCCTTGTGTGTTTTGAGAGTGGTTGGGAAGCAAAGGCAACCAAAACTCCTAAAATATGAATAAAGTATCTTTTTCTGGTAGAGTAGTTCATATATATGGACACTTATTTTTAATAGAGGATGATGGCAATTTGTTTATTAGGTAGGTAGAGGTAAGTATGCACTCTCCCAAGTATTTCAAAGGCAGCTTGGATTGATATAGCAATGCTCTAGTTGTTTCAAGGAGATATTTGTATTTTCTCTTTACTATCCCATTTTGTTGGGGAGTATAAGGAAAAGTCTTTTGGTGTATGATTCCTTTACTTTGGAAAAACATGGTGCTGGCAGCATTAACAAACTCCAGACCATTATCTGTCCTAACTATTTTGATGGTAGTTTGGAATTGATTTTCTACCATAGCAACAAAGGCTTTGAGCATTGCTCTTTCAAGTGAGAAGATGTGTCCATGTGGACCTATTGTAATCATCTACAAGGGTAATGAAATATTTGTATCCATAAAGAGTTGGAATGTGATAGGGACCCCAGAGATCCACATATAACAGTTCAAAGATTTTAAGTGTTTTTGTGGTACTTTGTGAGAAAGGAGATCTGCTCTGCCTGGCCATTGGATAGACAGGCAGAAGAATGGCTATTTTTGTGCAAAGGTAATTGGTGTAAGCACGTGATTTTTGCCCTATATGAGAATTACTCCCAAAAAATTCAAAAAAAAATGATT